ACCGGATCATGGACTTCCAGAGTGTAGAGGACTGGCAGAGCAACGAAGTCAGCAAAGTCGACTTTGGCCGCATGCCCTGGCACGACGTGGCCATGGGCTTGCAGGGCGACTGTGTCTATGACATTGCCGAACACTTTGTTCTGCGCTGGAACTTTATCAAGCGCGACAAATACAAGCGCAGCCACGATGTCGACTGGTTGCTAATGGAGGGCCACACAGGCGAAGATGAAGAAGATATCATCGCCGTGCAGCGACCCAAGTACCCCTGTGGAGACTACGTCCAACACCCGCTGACACCGCTATCCACCAAGGCTCGCGGTAACGTGGGCACTGTGCGCGCTCAAATCGTGCGTAGCAGTGACGACTGGAGCAGCGGTATTCTGAACGAGCACAGTATCCAAAACGCGTACTGCGAGACCATCCGCAATGCCCAGCACTTTGTGTACATTGAGAACCAGTTCTTCAGTATGTCCTCCCTCTTCTAGCGATGTACCTTGCTAATCTTTATAGTCACTGCCACTGGCGACCAACAGCGTCCGATTTTCAACACAATCGGCCGAGCGATCGTTGACGCTTGCGTGCGTGCAGGCAAAGAGGGCCGCAAGTTCCGGGTGATCATTGTCATTCCCGCGATTCCTGGATTCGCTGGTGATTTGCGTGACAATGCTGCGTTGGGTACTCGGGCGATCATGGACTACCAGTACAAGTCCATTTGTCGTGGCGAGCACTCGATCTTTGGACAGATTGAGAAAGAGGGTATTGACCCCAGAGGTAAGTTGTTTGGTTCGACATTAGGCTTTTGCATGTCTAACGAGTTTATTCAGAACACGTCTTCGTGTTTGCCCTGCGCGCTTATGATCGAATCAACAAGACACCCGTCCTCGAGGAACTCGAGAAGCAGGCTGATGTCACATATCAGGATATCCAGCGCGGTATCGCAGAGACCATCATGAGTGAAAGTGTGCACCCAGCGGTGGGCAAGGAAGGCGACAGTAACGAGAAGGACTACGCAGCCGACCAAAGTGCCAAGGAAGAGACTCTGCGCAAGCTTAAGAATTTCCAAGACAAGGTCGAGCAGAGAAAGGCCGACGATGGTTTCCACAGCAAGGATTCGGTATCGCATTGCACCATGTTGAACGGGGGTAAGATGTCCGACGAGCAGTGGGAGGGCGACCCAGAGGACGAAAAGCCCAACTTCGTCCAGGAGGAGCTGTACGTGCACGGCAAAGTGTGTATCGTCGACGATCGCACGATCATTTGCGGCAGCGCCAACATCAATGATCGGGTAAGTAGCATCGACACCTACATCTGACGCATTCACTGCGATCTGTATCATCGGCTAATATTCAATGTTCCCTACAGTCTCAGCTTGGCTCGCACGATAGCGAACTGGCCATTGTAATGGAAGACCAAGACCTCATCGAGAGTACAATGAACGGACAGCCGTATCAGGCATCCCGATTGGCGGCAACCCTACGACGGCAATTGTGGCGCGAACATCTAGGCCTACTGCCGGCGCAAGATTACGAATCCTCAGCTGACCCGAACGCGCAGCCGCCCGATGAGTGTCTCAACGTGATCGATGAAGGACCGGAAAACGAATTCGTGATGGATCCACTCAGCGATAGGGTCTGGAATACCTGGACGTCCCAGGCGACCGGGAACACCGAGGCGTATCGGATGCTGTTCCGGGCGGACCCTGACGATCATATTAAGACTTTCGAGGACTATGACAATTTCCGACCCCGGGGCTCGCACAAGGAAGGACATCTGTTTGATCCTTATATGCCTGCCAAAGATGTGCGTGAGAAGCTGGATCTCATCAAGGGTCACCTTGTTTGGTTGCCATTGGATTTCCTGCGCGACGCTGAAATGGCCGAGCCTGGCTTGGCTGTCAATCAGATTACCGAGGTGAGATTGATTGTTTCTTTTTATAGTTACATTGCTAATTATTCGACAGAGTATCTATACCTAAATCTAGGGGGAGGTCTGCAAATATCCATTCACATAATCCGATCTGTTTATAGAGTTCAATGCAATTCAAATCCATTAATCCTTTTAAAGATGAAACATAAATATATACGGAGTACACAGTTGGTCTATCTCCATATAAAAGCCCTAAAAGGGTACTTTTGTCAAATCCAAATCTTTCCAAGTGGAGAAGTAATAGAGTTGTCCCAGCCCATTGGGAATCCTTTTTTTATCGATTCTTTATATTTGGGATCTCCTTTTGCTCCGGAATCGACGGTTTTAGAAGTGATAGATCTCATTCATTTGAATGGCGGAAAAAGATTCCTCAGAAAAGAAATGGACTAGCTTGCTTCTTGGCAATATGGTACTTTAGTACGGTACTTTTATTTTTATATTCCTTTTTATATTCTTTTCCAAGCCGGATGTCTGGCCGAAACCTTGAAATTTGCTTTTTATAGGGGGAACAGCCTTCAATTCTATGACATTCAGATGTTCACGAGGTCCTATATATCTTGTGACTGACCCAACATAGTGACCACCCTGCTAGTTCCTGGGCCATATTGGGAGAGATACATGATTGTAGGAAAGTATTAATATAAAATAATGTCACATTTTCCCAAAGGGAAATCTTCAAGTAGAATACAAATTGGCCCAGGAAAAGAAAAAGAAAAAGAAAAAACAGTCTAAGTATAACTCCTCCGGATGCGAGATGCGCTGCATCAAAACTTTTTGACTTGGAAAATATCCAAATGCACGTTCACCAACGGTCAAGAAAGTGGATTCTCAAAAACCCAGCCCCAAGGGGGTGGGAAGTACCCTTGCACAGGGTTCATGCAGAGCAGATCAGTTCTGTAAATGCTGGAAAGCATAATGCAGAGGTCTCTTTGAGGAAGTTAGCCTTTTGCAAGGAGACCATTCAATAGAGTTCACAGGGATCCTACCGTTCATCTATCCCTTATTAGTGTGGCAAGCATTGCAGCGACAATGACCACAAATTTTGCAGCGCCAAATAGCCACAAAGGGTCCCGAGTTGCAGTCCGAGCAACGCCAGGTCAGGATATTGCCGTTCGTCGCCTGGACAATGGCAAAGACGTGACCGGAGCATTGGTTGGCCATGATAGCAAAGACTTGGAAGTTGAAAGACTTGGAAGTTGAAAGACTTGGAAGTTGAAAGACTTGGAAGCTGTTATAGTTAGGATGTGATTTCTTTGACTGTTCATGTTGAGACTCACATATTCAAACCCGAGGGATTGGGTACGTCGATCAATAAGCGGAGAAGGGTTCCAAGTACTTGGATTGGGGAAATAGGATATAGAAAGGAAGAGAGAGTCTCAAGGTGAAGAAAGTCAATTGAGAGGAAGGATGAAGTCGTGTGAAGTCAAGATGAGACTTGAAAGTCAGGATACATCCACCATTATATACTTCTTTCTCAAGATCACGGTGAGAGAGGGATCCCAGATGCAACCAGTCGACAATTAAAGAGCCAAAATACGCACCAAGCCGTGATGACGCATGTAACCGGGATCAATTGCTGAATTCCTCATTGAGAAAAAGGAAGGAAAAGGAGATAAAAAAAAACAAAAAAATGAAAGGAGAGCTGAGAGAAGTGGTTTTTAAGAGAGAAATCCGAATGATAGATGTACCGAAATCGCCATCTTGCATGAACAATTTATGGCTAAGACGACCCTGGACTAACAAAGGGACAATAGAAACTTCGATCATGAAGATCGGAGGGATCTGATTGGTAGTTCTCGATTTAAAAGGATTATAAGAAAGCCGGGGAGGGAGTATGTGGTCCTGGGGAACCCGGAAGGGACCCGAATGAATTAGTTTGATTTTAGTACGTTCTAGTATATTTTAGAATTAGTGTAGCATTTTAGGAATATAAAAAGAAATAAAAAGTAAAATTGACCTAATTGGAGGTGAAGAAACCAAAAATATGGGAAATATGATAGAAATGAACCTCCAAAGTACCCTTGTGGAGCTGAGATATGTCCCGTCCCGACAAGTTGGAACTAAGATCGGAGGTTTCTTACAATGTACTAATAGTACTAAAGTACTAACTAGTTATGTAGTGGAGTATAGTTATAGTACTTTTTGTTTTACTTCTTTTTCTTTCGATCGGACCTTTGCATCCCAGTTACCCGGTTCCGATCGAGTGCATAAGAGAATAGATTATATACCCTATGATATACTATATTCTATATATTCTGTATATTCTGTATATTCTCTATATTCTCTATATTCTCTATATTCTCTATATTATCTATTATATCCTTTACCTTTAGTCCCCCTGAAACTCCTGATACGGTTGATACATCAACTTTCGCTTAGACCATGATCCACAAGCTCCATATTCGTACTATTTCACCTATTTCAGTTTCGCTCTCGGTCTCAAAGTTATTTCTCAGCTGACTTGACAAATTCATATATCCACAGCTTCGGCGCTTGCATGGTCCAATTGCTTATTGAATAGCCGCAAAGCCTTTCCAACTCCGTGGAAAAAAAGAAAAAAAATATATAGAATTGTTGAGTCTAGTCTAGAATGATCTCTGTCACATCCGTGAATCCACATGTTCGGGAATTCTATACCGAATAGTCTAGCCAAGATCTTCTCCGGCGACTAGATAGGGCAGTTCCAGTTCGTTTTCTCATAGTACAAGAGTACAAGAGTATACAAAATGAGTACAGAGTACCCAAAAAAAAGAAGAGCAAACTCTCCCATTGGGGTAACACAACGGTAGGTTTCTAGGGTCGAGTTCTCTCTATCAAAAGGGGTATTCAAACTATACAGGGCGGGAATCAACGGAGAAAGACTGCATCTCCGAAGGGTTTGCAAGGCTTGATCGGAGGTCCATCTGTCACACCTGAAGATTGCAAATTGGCCCAGCCATAGCCGTTCGAAGATTCGGCTCGGGAGATGAGAAGATGCTATCCTTAGTCTAAGAACCAATTGATCATGCCAAGTGACCTGGAACGCTGAAAAAGTGGAAACTCTGCTCTATCTCACGGTCTCATGGTCGATCAATATGGAAACGTGCACACCGACAATCCCATTGGGTCCTGTACCTCGATACCTCGACTCCCGTAAGTGGACTCTGGGCTCCGGGCGATCACCAGACCACGACCGAATCACAAACCGGCTTCGAGAATCATTCACGGCCAACCGCATCGGTGTGAAAGTCAATATGAGAAAAATCGGGGGTGGAAAGAGAGAAAATCAAGGTAATTGCACTACGGAGGACCGTCTCTACGCCGAAGTTTGCCTGAACACGGTAAAAGATATAGTTGTAAATTGTTTGCTATCGAATTACATTATGTTCGAGATCGCCTCCTTGCACCACTTCCACAACCGTGAGGTCAAGCGTTCCAAAGAACTGAGAAAGGGGTGACATCTCCATGCTATCAACTCCAAAGAGAAAACAGCAAGAAGTAAGAAAAACATGATCCGATATTAATCTGCCAACGCTCCGTTAAGAACACCTTGTGGAAAACGAGATGCTCCTGCAGAACCCAGAGTGGACTGCATCGCTGGTTTGTGATAGAATCACTTTACGAGGTCGGGAACCGGGGACAACCGGGGGAGGGGAAAAGGGCAAGGACGAGGAAGTGGGAAAGGTCCAGAACGAGTCGTTCATTTGATAGGAAATAGGTATCATGTCATCAACGGGTTGCAGGGAAACCTGCACATCAGTACGCAAAAACGCCTCAAGAGTATTCAAGGTCTCTCTTTTTGCTTGGTTTCGTTATTTTTTCCTCGTTACGGCCATATGCCTCATCAGTCGTTAAGGTGGAAGAGGGCCGAGACGCTGCTCGTTGTTAGTGGATGGTCACACGACACCAGGGTCGGTGAAAACAAACCTTTCGCCATAATGGTGCCTCCGGATACTCTCTGCCAATAAACTCGAGATATCAATGACAATCAACTTTTTCGATCTCCGCAACATCGACGGTGAGATCGGGAAAGTGTTGGTCACGACAATGTGATCGATGGAACGACAAGCTTCCATCTGATCCAAGGAGTTCTCCCCGAACAATCCGTGGGTGGCAATACAGTACACCTTGCTCGCCCCACCACGCTTGACGACAGTCTCTGCAGCCGCGATCCAAGATCCACTCTTGTCAATCATGTCATCAACAAGGAAGACAGATCGGTCGCGCACTTCGCCCACCAGTGTGATGGTCCTTTCATCGACGCGGCCCTCACAGACACTAGCTTCGTCGTCAGACTCGACTGCATCAAAGGAGCCACCGAGTGCATGATCAGGAGGCTGCGATGAGACGTTTGAGATCATGGAGTTAGCCATAGGATCAGAAACAGCGTCTGTGTTGTCATGGCTGCTGCTGCCAGCTCCCGGTGTGGTGCCGCCAGACTGTGACTCTTCGTTGGCACGATAATCATCATCAACCAATTGACCTTGCACCAGACGACCGGTGATCACATCCCGCACACGCACATCTGTGTACTCAAATTCTGCGTCCAGCTCCGATGGGCGGCGAGCCGCAGGTGGGGTTTCCGGGCGCAGCAGATACTGCGCCGGAGGGGGAGTGATTGGCTCGGGCTCTTCCGGAATGGGAGGTGTTGCAGGTGTTCTGTTAGACCTGTGCATATGAAGCTCAAAAGGATGTGTTTCCTTCGCCAGGAGGGGATCTTCATCCACGGCATCGAAGAAGACTGTGCTATCAGTCATGGCGGACACGGGGATCTTTGGGCGCCGACGATCCGTCGTCACGATACCGAAGTTGAGCTTCAAAGTATCAGCCAGCGATGTGACTCGCTTGGTTCCGCCAGCATTCTTGCTAACCACGACGGCGTCTTTCCAGCCGGGAACATTCATCCGGATCCAGCGGGCAATGAACGGTTCGGCAAAGAGGTTGTCGACCGGCTTTCCGAAGAACCCTTGCATCTGGGATGCCTAGGAGCCCATCAATATCCATATTACAAAACTCAACATCGCATAGAAACATACGTGCAGGTCCATGGTGATCACATGGTCCACGCCGGCGATCGTGAGGAGATTGGCGAGCATGCGGGCTGTGATGGCACCACGATGACTCTTCTTCTTAGATTGGCGCGAGTATGGGAAATATCTCGTTTTAGAGTCAGCATTGTCTGTGATTTGAGCTCAAACAGGACGGGCAGCATACGGCATGACCGCTAGAGAAACGAGTTAGTGGGGGGCAAATCTTGTTTTTTGTAGAATCGGCAACATACCTGTAATGGACTTGGCTGAGCCACCCTTGCATGCTGAGATCATGATCAGGAGCTCCATAACACTATCGTTAATCTTCTCGCTACCACTTTGAATGATGTAAACATCCTGGTTCCGCACTGAGGTACCGATGTTGACACTGGTCTCGCCATTGGCAAATTTTCCTAGGTTAGCTTTGGCAGGCACAGTGCCTAGGCGCTCGCAGATAGTACCTGCGAGGCCGGGGTGGGAATTCCCCGAAAATATCTGAACACCCCGCATGATTTAAGTAAAAGACATGAGTGACGTGAAAGGAAAAGAGAAAAAAGGAAAGAAAAAAGTTCGAGAGGGAAAAGCTCGGGAATATTGCGGGTGTGGTGTGTATCGCCCACCGTACGGGGGGTTTCTTTATCGGAGGCCGATAAACGGGGGTTGCATCATTCCCACATCCCACCATGTCGAAGTTCCCAGAAGTACAAGGTGGAGGTTCGTTGATACTCGCTTGGCAAATTAAAGACAAGCATGTGCTAGTCATAGGTGGTGGAGAGGTACGTGATTTGACACTGATAATAGCTATATCTCGTTTTGAGGCTGGGACTGATCTATATATCTCTGCTAGGTTGCTGCAGGACGCATCTTGCACGCTCTCAATGCCGATGCTCGGGTCACTGTGGTTTGTCCCGCCGCTGGACTAAACGAAGAAGTGGCCTACAGGTTGGCAGAAAAGCAAATCACACACGTTGATCGAAACTTTGAGCCATCCGACCTTGATAATGTGGACATGGTGCTCTGTGCCATTGACGACCCGGAGGCTTCAACACAAGTCTGGAAGCTCTGCAAGGAGAGGCGAATTACTGCCAACATCGCTGATGTTCCACCTGAATGTGATTTCTATTTTGGGAGTGTTCACCGTGATGGGCCATTACAGGTCATGGTCAGCACAAATGGGAACGGGCCCAAGCTGGCCAGTATTGTGCGCAAAAAGATCGCGGAGACTTTGCCAGCAAACATGGGGGCCGCTATTGAGAATGTAGGAAAGCTACGGAAGAAGCTCCGGGAGGTTGCCCCGAAACCTGACCAAGGCCCCAAGAGAATGAAATGGTGAGTTGGAAGATTCCGGTTCCTCTTCGGGGATAAGTGTGAGCTAATCAATCATAGGATGTCCGGTGTCTGCGAAACATGGAGCCTCGACGAACTTGTACAAATGACCGAAAAGGACATGGACAGCGTATTATCCTTTTACGAGTCGGGTAAGATCCCAACTGCAGAGGAAGTACAAAAGAAATAAATGAAAAAAAAACAAAGTAATATTTTATCTTATCAATACAGCTATGCATCTCTAAAGTAGAACAAATTGCTCGTGTGGCAACACAAGACCCCGAAGAGTCGGGTTATAAAACGCCGAAAATCAAGCCCGCGGCAAGGATATCCAAAAATCATGTAGTAACTCAGACCTGGCTATCGCGGCGCGAGGCTTTCTGGGAGACGGAGCTGCGCGGGCTAATGGGGACGTCCAGGGGATTGGGCGGAGCAATGCCGAGTCGGACCTCGCCGATCCGGCGCAGGAGAGACTGGAGGGCAACGCGAATCTCCGGGTTGAGATCACGGCTCAAAAGCTCAACTCCGAGCGAGTAAAAGGTCTCAATATGCTTATTAAAGTCATCTTGCGGGAAGTTGGTATATCCATCAATGACATCGACCACCACCGGGCGCCAAGCGACGATGTTGCGGTGCTGAGTGTCCTCTTCGAGGCGGACGAAACTACTAATAATATCCGCACAGAGTCTAGTGGAATTAGCAATGAACAAAGGGGGAAGAAGCAGGGAGAATCAACTTACGGAATGAGTGCAGCCTCAGTCTCTGCGCGGCTACTCTGTCTTTCCTCTCGCTCGTCGTGATACATTCGGAAGAGAATATGCACGTAGGTAGAGGCACTGCCGCTCTCCTGCTTCAATAGATTAGGAGGTTGCTTCATGAATCCCTGGCGCCAGAGTTGCATCCGCAAGTCTTTATCCTCATTGAACTTCTTCGCGAACTGATAACTCTTTTTCAACAGCCCCATGAGCCGGAGAAGCTCAACACTGGGGATCTGTGCATAGACATTTTCGTTCGAGAAAAGTTCGTGGACCGTTTCAATCATGAGCAACTGTAGAACGCAGTTCGTGATGATGCGATTGAAGTAACGACGCCGAGCTGCAGTGACAGCTGCCGGTTGCTGCTGGTCTGACTGGGGGCGATAGTCTTCTAATTCGGCGCGGGCTTCACTTTGGGCAGGAGGATCACCACTTTCGTGAAGAGAAGATGTGCTTTGGGATCCATTGGGCTGCAACGCATCAGGCAAATCTTTTGTTGCTATAGCGGCATCTGGGGACGGTGTGGGGTTTCCATTAACTGTCTCTGCTGGCTTAGACATCGACACGGCAGCCGTAAAAAGCTCATAGGCAGTCGTTTTGCTGAAGAGCTCCACGAATGCCCCAACAACCTGGGACCAGTGCTCCTGCTTGAACTTTCCAACATTCTGCAAAATCAGCTGCTGCAGGCAGTTGCTACCAATCCGTGCAATGGTGTCATTTTCTTGACAAATGCACAATGTCAGCAGTTCCAAGAAGCGGCTCAGCATGTATTCCAAAGCATCGAAATAGTGCGTGAACAAGGTGATCATGTTCCGTAGCGCCTGGATCATTGTCGTAGACAACCAAACTGAAAGATCCTCGTGGTTCGGAACCTTGGACATTTCAGACTTAGACTGTAGGACCACGAAAATCGGGTAGAGGAGCTGTCTCCAGAGGACATCCCAGAAGTCCCTGGGGAAATCGCCACCATGTCGGATGAGCGTATCGAAGAGGTATGTGAGTGCCCGTGAGCGGACCTCGAGATCATCCCCCGTCATAAGTACATCTTGGAATGCGATGAGAATTGGATACCAGAACTGCTCCTCTTGCGATTGACGGGTAAGTTGTTTAGCAAGATTGGTTCCATTGTCCTGGAAGGTGGCCGCCGAGGCACCACGGTGTGACAAGGGACATTCTGGAGTCCGTAGCATTTTGGTGACGGTAGACCTGAGGGTCTCAATTGCCTGAAGCGATTTCTTTTGGAACCTGGAGTTCTTTGAGAATTCAGTCAGGCATACAATGAGATCTGCAAAGGCGCCTTGGGTGATCACTACGCCAAATCTGGTGTTGTAGACTTGGGTGACATGG